CATATATATATAATATATATATATGGGGGGGTCATACCTTAACTCATAACAATGTCTGTGGAAAGAAGAGACATAAGCTTAGAGTAATGAAATCCCCTTGGACAAGTGAAGCCTTAATTCTCCTAAGCCTAATTTAGCATTTTCCAGTGATGAAGATAGTGTGAGAGAGCATTGTGCTACATGGAGGGATTTCACATTCCTTGATACTCATCAGATTGGAGACCAAGCATGGGGTTAAAGGGGCACAACAACATAAAAGCACAGAAACAGGTCAAGTTGAAGAGTTCTTAGTTCAGAGAACTGCCCTGAGAGCTGTGTACATCATTATGGCATCCAGATGCAGATTTTCCCAAGGAAAGCCATTGAACATAAATTGACATGAGGACTAAAGTGCATGTACAGAACCTGTCTGTTGTGACCAAACATTCCAGATAATCTTACCAAGGTACTTGTTTCCCTGAGTGCAGTAATACAGATTATATGCAGAGACTTCATAACCAATATTGTGGAATGACAGGCAGGATGGAGAGTGATAGTATCAAGTGGCCACAAATAGACAAAGAGGAAGAGCGTACTTTGCTGTTCATTTATATCTATTTTCATACCCAAAGGAGACTATCTGCAGAACTTAACATCCTGAACAGGTTTCAAGGCACTGGCATTCAAAAGTAGCAAAATCATGTTCCTGTAAGAACAGTGTGTTGATAACCTGAATCAGAATTACTCTTTGTGTTGTTGAAAGGCTAAGGCTTACCTTATAAAATTACTACATAAGAATTTTATGGGTAAAATATGGAAATTGCTATTTACAAGCTCCTGGGTTATTTTCATACAAAATCCAAGTACCAGAGCAACTGAATGAGAGGAAAATAAAAAAAAAAAGTCTCAAATTAAAATGAGAACGAAGGCAATTATCATTAGGGAAGATTTATGAAACCTTTGTTCCTCCATATCCACAGTAAATCCAGTTTTATTCCAGAGTATAGAAACAGCTGAAGAATGTTCCGTTCATATTTGAAGATATTGCAATAATTTAAAAAGGATAACACAGCAATATTGGTTATGTCTGTGGAGAAGAAGCTCCCACAAAACACCGGAAAATGAATGAAGTAGTAAATAGCTGAGGAGATGCTGTGGCAAAACTACCTTATTTCAAGATAATCCAAACAACTGAATAATAGAAATTATTAGAATGATTAGAAATTATTAATGAATAAAATAATCCACTCAATCAACAAGTGAAAAGAAAGGTAGCAATGTGCCTTGAATTTGTCATATGCAGATAAGTTTTTAAGAGCAATATTCACTCATTCCTGACATGACACATTGCATTCAAAATCTGAAGGTCAGTAGTAGGTCGCTAAAGCAGTGTGGCCTCCACTTACAAGAAAAGCATACTACAGTTGACTTATTTTTACCCCAGAGTGATTGGGTATATAGAATAATATAAAATCCACAAAATGAAAGTTAGGAAGAGTGGAGAATATTTCCAGATAAAACAATTGTTTACCTAAAAATACCAATAATAATTATGAAAGGATAAAATACCTTTGTGAGCTCAGTGTAATTGTTTTTCACTATATCAAAAGGAAAATGCTTAAACAGCAACCAAAGTTACAATATATAAAGGAGTAAATGTCTCTGAAATAGATGTGTTTAGATAAAGCAATAAATATTATCAGCTAACAAAAATAAAATGATTTAGGAATGAGAACATACTTCAGTAGAAGATACCACCTAATAAAGATTGCAATTAATTTTTTATTAAAATCTATCATTGTCACTGTTTTAGGATAAATGTGGCCCAACTATCCCAAATTTTATCTTTGATAAGAACTAGTAATAAAAATGACCTTTTAAGAAATGATGAGTGTTAGTTTGCTCTAGTGTATTATTTAAAATGTAATTTGTAAAGAAATTAAATTCTGATAAGTTTGTTAGAAGAAGAGACATGACCCAGAAAAGGAAAGAAGAAAGGAATGAGAATACAATTGGTGGAAAGAGGGATGGAGGGAGAGGGAGACTTTAAATTTGGAAGGCAGTGGCAGAGGTGATCTTGACAGTTGGCAGGTCATGAAAGTACTGGAAAAGGTAATCTCAAACTAGACCAAATTCCTGAGTCTCTGGAACTCTTAATTCCTGGGAAAGGTCCCAAAGATATACACTAATGCCACCGTCACTGTCTCTCCCTTTGCTCTGGGAGGAGAGGCTATGAGATTAATCAAAATAAGCTTTCTGCTATATTGTGGATAATAAACCTAAAGCCACAGATTCCCTGGTCCTGGGTTACAGGTATGCACCACCGTGCTCAAAAGATTTGTTTTCTTCAACTCAGGATAACAAATCAAAGGCATTCCTTTTGTTTTACTTTGTCTCCAACTTAAAAAAAAATTATGTATATTAAAGCCTTGGTGTTGACCATGTTCCACTGTAATAATATTGACACAGTGAGATCAATAGAGTTTTACTTTATATAACTTCATAGTTAGATGGAGATGATGAAGTCGTTTTAATGAGAAACTCAATAACACATGACACTGTCTGTACTTCCAGGAAAGAACCTCATCAGGGGCTGGCAAGCCGTCTTCTTGTCCTTGGCAGATTTAAATACGTTAGATAGTTTTATGTTTCACAATTATGGCCACTTCAAAATTGAGTATTTATCAGTCATTACTCTCCTATTTTCTAGTATTAGCTTTATTCAATGCTGCATACGTTATCCTATTTGAATAATGTTGGCTACCTCATAATATAAGACACCCATTCTGTGACTCTTAACTCTGCATAATTTTTATTTTTTAAATATTATATATTTTTCTTTTATGTGTCTGAGCATATTACCTGCATAGATGTAAGGGCACCTGAGCTGTGCAATGTCAGAAGAGGGTGTCAGATCCCCTGAAACTGGAGGTGCAGGAGGTTTTTAGCTACCATGTGGGTTCTGGGAATTGAACTTGGCTCCTCTGCTCTTGCAGTCAGTGCTGTTAGTGGCTGAGCCATCCCTCCAGTCCCAGGTTTTAAAGCTTTGCATGCCTTCTAGTTTTTTTCAGGTGACATGCTTTCTATATTCATAATTATTTTGTTTTCATATTTACATGATATCATTTCTCCTTTAAAAAATGCTCCTTGATACATACTCAATAGTGGGTTCCAGACACTATCTGAAAAATGGATGTGTGCATTTACAAATTTGATAATTCTAGGAAGCAAATCAGAATGGCCTTTGCTAAATTGCTTGTAGCCATGTGTCCTCTCAAGTTTGTTTTTGTATCCATAACAAATTTTAACTAATTAAGCTTGATATTAGGATTACAGTTACTTTATTTCAGTTGAACTGACTTTTCATTTGATAAACAAGGGAAACAGAGCTGATGAAGGTCTTTGAAGACACAAACAGGGCTCTGTGCCTGCTTCTGTTACATGGACTTTCTTAATATTTATGAGAGTGTAAGTCTGTAGGGGAGACAGCCTGTTTACAGACCTGCAGATGCAAATGAGTGCCCTCACAATACTGCAGTTTTAATGACATGTTTCTGGAGGAAATTATCAAGTGAAGAAAAATTGGCTTTCCATTCCCTCTCCATTTTGTTATAAGGTGAAGGGAAAAGATAATGGGAAATAATTAAAATCTGTGGCTAGAAATAATTTTAGACAGAAGAGAAAAAGCATTAGATAATATTCAAATTTAGAGAAGATGTTTAAAACTTGGTTTGTGATGAATGAAATATGAGACTAAATGGATAAATAAGAAAGAAGATTGTTGCTAATGCTGTGTCCTGCCGCGCTTACCGCTCAATGCCACGTCATGGCTGGTTATTCCTTAATAAAGCAGAGATTGACCTTTAGCTCCATTTGAGGCCAGGAGTAGATGCTAACTGCTGCTCCTTCAGATTTCTCTTCTTGGAGCTTTGCTATTGAGCAGGGGCTTTGTTCATTCTTTTTTGAAACAGAGTCTCCAACATGAAATTATCAAGAAGAATTTTGCCCTTTGATCCCTAAACATCTAAGAATACCCCACCCCCACACACAACTATATAGGGTTCTCAATTTCAGTGTTTGCAATGAGAAAAGCACTGTTTGCAATATTTTATGGCTTTGATATGTAAAATATGCATACATACTTTCATACACTATTTGGGTGCAGTGCAAGAAAGAATCCTGAGTGTTTAAGGTCATAAGAGCAGATCCCAAGAGGACCAGGTGGTTCTGTGGGCTTGTTTACACTGCAATCAGTAACTTCTTGGTTGCAAAGTTAGGAAAAGTCTTTAGTCCAGAGTATGTCTATGCTGTGAAAGTCATTCCCATAGTGTCCCAGGTTCTAGGAAGTGTGAAACACTAGTTAAAAGTTAATTTTCAGGCCGGGAGTGGTGGCGCATCCCTTTAATCCCTGACTCGGGAGGCAGAGGCAGGCAGATCCTTGTGAGTTCAAGGCCAGCCTGGTCTACATAGTGAGTTCCAGGACAGCTTAGGCTACAGGGAGATCCATTCTTAAAAGAGACCAAAAAAAAATTAATTTCCAAGTCCTACCTTTTAAGTAGATCTGGGATGCCTAGATCTGGGATGCCACTACCCAATGCAAACTTAACATCTAGTTGATTCTTATAGTAGAATAATATTGGGAAAAATATTGACTTTTTTTGAGTCACTTTATACATCAAAGTATTAAAAAATTTAATGTTTGAGTCTTCCATATCAATCATATATACATCAATCAGAATAATAAAATCAGTTACGGTATTTGAATTGCCTTTAAAATTAGAGAGCAAAAATATCAGTACTATATTTTATCCAATTCTCAAATTCTGTGGCCTATAATTTACTCCAAATATATGATGAATTAGCAATTATTTTTATTTCCATCTACTACTCTTTAAGGAAGCTGGAGAACTGCAGAATTGGCTTGGATTTATCTCCATAAACTAAAGATATGACAAACTTATATAAATTTGTTTTTGTTTCTTTTTGCAGGGTACAAGTTGAATTCTATATGAATGAAAACACATTTAAAGAGCGATTAAAGTTATTTTTCATTAAAAACCAGAGATCAAGTAAGTCATTCACGCTGTTGTCTTTGTTCCTTGTTTGCATGTGCTCACTAAAAAAAAATTCTAGCTGTGTGCTACCTTACAAAACTATTATGTAGCAGAATAAAATTTGTAGTATTGTTTAACAGGCAGTAACTAAAGGTTCCCCTTCTAGAAGTCTCTTCAACACCTTTAGTGCTCCAGGAAAACAATTGAAACAGAGCACATCTTGCACCTCAGAATCATAGCACTCAGGATGGTGCAGCAGAAGGATCAGAAATTCTGGGTCTTGGGCCTTAAACATTGCACCATGGATGGTGGAGGGGCTAAAGGAGCCTGGCCTCTCCTTGATGAATTATTGGCAGTTACTGTTTGCTAGGGAGGGGCAGTCATTTGCTTCAGTGTCACAGCCACTAATAAATTTCCTATGCTCCAGTAAATAGCCCCCCAACTATACTTAGGCAATCAACCCTAATTAAACTCAACAGGTCAAAAACAGCAGAAGACGTGAAAGTAAGAGGCAGACTTGTTGGGAAGACGGGCTTCAGCAGTAGTGGGAGGAGGATGTGACAGGTAATGGAAAAGGGATGACAAAAATTCATTGCATGTGTGCATGAAGCAATTAAAGAATATGTGAAAAAAAGTTCAATATTATCCTTGCTACATAGACTTTGAGGCCATGTTTGGCTGCATAGTGGGTGTCGGGCCAACTTGAACAACAGAAGGAATACCTGTCTCAGAAACACCCCCTAAACAGTAATAGGAACTATACCAAACCTCCACAATTTAAGTGAGAGATTCATTTTTTTTTTTTAATGTGAGAGCTGTGCAAAATACCATTTAGGCTCTAACAATTGATTAGTCACAATGGTCATTTTCTGAGTTAGTAAGGGAAGAAATAAATGTCTCCCAATTGATCCTAGTGATTAGAGGTATCACGTGAACCCTGGAATGCACAGATGGCAGTGGTCCTTCCTGTGAAGAGCTAAAATTTGTATCTATTGGGTAAATATCAGAGTTTAATGTCTGAAAATTCTTTAAAGAAATTTAGGAAACACTGGAAAAAAGAACATTTGAAATTGGGATAGTCACTGTCCTGCTGAAGTCTTCCAAAGCTGAAGCACTTATGAGACTTACTGCCTTTACTGTCACAGTACTGCACATTTATTAACACTAAACGTTATACCATTTATAATAGCATGATCACTGCTTAAAATGTAAGAAGTGAAGAAACCTATATTATATTGGTATAGATTTTAGACTGTGCCTTTTAATCCCTGAATCTGTTTGCACAAATAGGGTTCATAGACAGAAGCCTTACTTGTGTGAGAATATCTAAAAGCCTCCAGTAGGGAATTCCTCAATATTTAAGGCATACTAGTCAGGAATTTTAAATGGCAGACTAGCTTCAGGGGTAAGTCTAGGAATAACTGAAGCCTTACTCACTATGTTATTTAGAATTTCTAAGGAAGCCCCATCAGTAGATCTTACCTAAAGGGATTACATCACTTGAATGAAAGTTTCCTCAATTAATTGCAATTCCATCTCTCTATGCAAAGACTTATCTTCACATAGATGGAACTGGTAAAAGAAAGGAGCCAGGGGCTCCTCCCAAGCCCATGGGACCCCTGAGGAACAGATCCTCAAACGACCTCAAGAGTAAAAACAAATCAGTTTATCTGGTCCAATGGTATGTCCTTAAACACCCAAAAGGGAAGTATAACCAAAGATTAAAAGGGCCAATATAATTTCATAAGAGCATACATATATATAACTAAGAGTTACTTGACAAACAGCAAAGCCAGACAGGC